GGGATCTCATCAATGTGTACAAATACCTGAAGGGAGGGTGTTAAAAGACAGAGCCAGGCTCTCTTCAGTGGTGCCCAGTGACAGGACAAGAGGCAATGGGCACAGACTAAAACACAGGAGGGTTCATCTGAACATCGGGAAACACATTTTTACTGTGGAGGTGACTGGGCACTGGCACAGGTTACCCAGGAAGGTTGTGGAGTCTCCCTCCTTGGAGATATTCAAAAGCAGTCTGGACGTGGTCCTGGGAAACCTGCTCTAGGAGACCCTGCTTGAGCAGGAGGGCTGATGACCTCCAGAGTTTCCTTCCAACCTCAACTATTCTGTGATTTTGTGAAATAGTGTTTTCAAACTAATTGGGACTAAGCCATTATACTGTTTGGCTAAATATTCTCATGCTCCTCATCAACAAATTTCAGCAATCAGGGTAATTTAATTTGCTATGAATAGGAGCATATATTGACACAATATAATGACCAAGAGAATCAGAAGAGATTCACAGGTTTATCAAAACCTGACACACAATTCTTCATAAATCATTACCTCACCTCGTGCTCATAACCTGCTGTATTTTCAATTCTAGTTCTTGTTTCTCCTAAATGTATCAGCAATTAGTACAGTAACTTCTTTTCATTACCAGTTTTCACCATAAGCATGCTCCATTAGCAGCTCCGTAAGAATTAAAGCATGTACCTGGCTCACAGGAAAAACAATCTGATTAACAAAACAAGAATGCCACTGAATGACTATTTTAGTATTACTCTGGCAATATGACTATCAGAGCATGTTTGCTCCCCTTCACTCTTTATCCCTTGAAATGCAAAACAGTCAATATTCTGATGCAGGTCCACATCACATCTACAACCCAAAACCTTTCATCTCAAGAAAAATCAAATCACAAAAATCATGCTTAGTGCAGTTTACACAGTAATTGATTTTAAAAAAGAATAATGAGACACAGATTATGAAAATGCTTGACAGTTAACCAAAGCTGAGAATAAATATTCGTTTCTTCTTTTGTAGAAAATGCCTAGTTGATTACAGCAGTATTGTTTTTAGGTCTGTCCTTAGTTCACCACAGAGGAAACTGGATACCTGTAGATGAGCCATATTACTTGGAACAGTAAAACTAGAAGCATATTTTACTAGTATGGATTCATAAACTGAATTTGCAGGTTAGAGTAACATTCCTAAAATTGAACTGGTCCTCAAGAAGTTGATTCTGTGAATCAGAAACAGGTATTCAAATACTCAGAAGACAGACAAGGAAATATGAAACCTGTTTGTAGTCAAACAGAAAACATAGGAAGGTTTCCCAGAAATACAGAAACCTTAAATCAGCTGTGTTCTATTTTCTCTTTAGTCAGGAAAGAAAAAAAACAACAACCTGTAATACTAATAATGGGGACCCTTTATGATATTCATAATATGAATTTTAAGGTGTTTTTTTGTTTTGAAATTACAAATGTATTTTCTCAAAATATCTGTATGCACAGCTATACACTCGTCTTAAATTTCTACCTGTTGTGCATTGGTATAAACACACTGGTGTAAGTGCTATTAAACCCAGATTTTGTTATCACAATGCTATAATAAAAACACTGGAGCTAATGAAAGCCAGTTATTGTAAATTTACTAAATTTCACAAGCTAGAATTCACCTTAGTTTTTGTAAAATAAAGAGCACAAATTGCCCTATCACCTATGCTGTTAACAAGAAAATTACAAAATTTAGGTTTCAGCTTTGTAAAGAACTGTCCAGCTTTTACTTTGGAATGGTCACCACAGTAAATATTTTTAGGGTATTCCTCTACAGGCTCTTGCACTCCCTTTGAAGAATTACCTCCTAAAAATGTCAAAAACCAATATCCCAATATTATCTCTGATCAGATAATCTTTATCCTTTGCTTCACACCATCAACACTTATCCAAAGATTAAATTTCTTACGCATCTTCTTTCTAACAGAACTACACCTACTGGGAATTACTCTTGCCTGGTTTCAACAGGTAATGGCACTAATTCATATAGTATCACTGTCAGGAGGTATAAGAAGAGAAGGTTGAAGGTAACAGTCTGAAATAAATACAGTAATTCTGATACAATTTTGAAACATATAGTGTTTAACAGCTCACCATTTCTCAGGAAAACAACCGCCTTCATCTTTGCTTCCTACTCCCACTCCAATTCCAAACCCTCAAAGTTGGTGAAGCAGTAGGAGGCAGAAATGAAAAGTAGTTATTTTCTATGAAACATAGGACTGATAGTCAATTAATTTCAAGATTGCCAGAATACACTCTATCTGCTTACAGCTTCTTTGTCCCCACAAGAAATAATGTTTTCTAATCTCTCACTTTTTCTATTTAAGAAATGATAGCATCCACTCTTGAGTAACTGTTAAAAAAAAGAAAAAGTACCTGTGGCTGAAATGGTGGAGCAGTAGGCCCCTGCATGCCTTGTGACTGTTCATCCATTCTATCACGTAAAAGCGTCCCTTATGTCCTGAAAAGAGAAACAGAGTCATTACACTGTAATTCAATCTGTATTTATGATCAATGAACATCAGCAGAAAAACTGAAGAATTAAATTTTCTCATTCGCATGCTTGAGTTTATAACATTTAACTATTCTAGCCCTACACTGTTTTGGGAAGGAATTTTTCTTATGTTTAGCTGTTCTATAAAAATGAAATAAGTCACTATACACATCTGAACTTATTATTAAGAGATGTGCATTAAACTACTTGAGCCAGACAAATGGCTCTGTCTGATAAAAGCTGCATCCCCCCATTATTCTTCAGAGGCACCAACCACTTGTTTAACCGCGTAGGTGTCTGCTGGCCAGTACCTTAGACCTATGGGCAGCATGGGAAATAGCAGATCAGCAGAAGAGTTGTGACTGCTGCAGTAATTTATCTGTAGATTTTAGTGAGTATGCAAGAATAGTTCCATTTAAATAGAAAAAAGCTAAACATGTACACTCATTACATTCTGACAAGCTAGCTAAGAGGGCTTTGAGATACCGTATTAGGAGCACAGCCTCTATTCCCAACTATGAACCTCTCATATCTCATCAATAAAATGGGATGAAAGATGCCTGCCAAGTTCCCAAGATAGAGACACAAGGCTTTGACCAATAATAACAGCTGCAAAATGTGCAGAATCATTATTAGGAAGAACAGGAGAGACAAAATTGCAAATGCTCAAGCGGCTTTTTTCTCAGCTAAGCAAATCCTTTCTTAGGCTACAAGACATTTTGTTGAGGGGGAGCAGGTGGAGCACCCAGTTTTATTGGTGCCCATGAGGGCCATCTCTGTTCAGACGAAAACGAAGTTCACTCGCAGCTTCGAATGCAAACAACGAAATAAACTTTTATGCAAGTAAGAGGCAAGCCCTGAACAACTCTTTCATCACACAAACACAAAGTGTCTCTGCCTATTACCCAGTCAAACCTGCCAAGGCCTTCAGAGGAACAAGAGTCGTGTGTCTGACTGGAAAACTGTTCTTGCTTTTCAACTTGTTTTTTATTTATTTTCTTATTTCCTGCTCCAAATCCCAAAAGTTCTAGAGATGGTTTGACATAAAACACTTTTCTGATACCTCTTAAAGATTAGGCTATTTCCTATGATAAATTTATTCTGATAAATCTATATACTTCAAATATACTGCAAACACGTCCTTCTACACACAGAGCTAGTTATGTTTCAAACCTCTCTTTAGAATGAGTACGTAAAAATTTCTCAAATAGCATTTAAGTTCAGCAAGAAAGCATACAATCTACTACTATCTGTTAAAACACAAAATAAATCTTCCCAGTAATTTCTTTCGAGAATATTAAAAACATTAGAAATAACTCTCACCAGAAAGCAGCAAACCTTAGAAATGTTTTTCAAAGCCCATTGCAAAATATTTAAGAAACTAACGAATAGCTTGTGTTCACAGTACTGTTGTCATTCTTACAGCATCATTTTGATAACATTAGTAATATCCAAAATAATCACAAAGCAGCTTTGCAAAGTTTCTCAATATACTGCCCTAGTGTACTGAACAGTGGATTGGATACGCAAAACAAGCCATTAGCAACCTGCTCTCACTCCCCCGTTTAAAGCAGTCAACCCATGCCATTCCAGCACCATTAGCTACTCGTAACGCCAAACCACAGCCGTCCTCCAGAGCGACTAAAGGCCCCAACAGCTTTGCCTTCCTATCCTTAGTACTCCTGTATAAAGCATACAGTTTGGGACTTTCTGTTGTTTTGTCTGAGTATTAGCTGTAATTAATCCAAAGATAAGAGAGATCTGAAAAAGAAATTTCAGGCAGGTCAAGAGAGGAGGGGGAAAAAAAAAAAATCAATTATCAAACTGAGGTGAGAGGCAGAGAAGAGGAGGTAGGAATTGCAAAGATTTCTAAGACTGTCAGAATGAGCGTGGTGAGAAAGAGGGAAACAGCTGGCGGATACACGCTGCACACCACGGGCTAGGCAATCTCTAGCCAGCCCTAGGACACCAATATTGACACTTCTTGCAAGTTCTACAACATCTCCCATACAACCTCCCCGCCAAGGCAAGAAATCGTAACACAACAGCACTGAAAATTAAACCGTTGTCACAAAACTGCACCCAAGTTCTCCAGTTAGATTCACAGAGGTTTATGCAGTTGCGACAAATTCTGGGGGAGGAATGCATGTCAGTCTTGAGGAATCTTCTGCTAAGTTCTTGCTGTAGAGGTCTTTTTATCACTGCCAAGAATTCTTTTCTTAAGTGCTGTTTTGAAGAGCCTTTATAAAAATTTTAATCTTTTCAATAGTGTCAATATTTCTACTGAAAGTTTTGCAGTGTGTTTTATTAATATGTTTACATATTGAAGACTCTTGACCACGTAATGCACCAATAGATCATTCCTATGGGTCACAAACACTTGTTTCAAAATCCCCAGGGAAAAGAAGTAAATACAAAACTCTTTATCCTCTATTGCAGACATTTATCCAAGATTAATGAAGTCAATGCTGAAATGTTTAGATGATGTATGTTGATTCAGGAACTATACAACCCACTCACCTTGTCTGCATGGTCAGAGGCACTGACTAGAAGTGTTTGGAAATGTGTCTTTTTTTTTTTAATTTAGGGAGAGCAGAAAGGGGAGAAGTCATATCATTACCACTGCCAGTGGCTCTGCCCTCTGTGGCTTGTTTTTATAATAAAAGCAAGCAAATTAAAGAGGTAACAAATACGTTCTACCACAGGAAGCAAGGAAGATTTATTAGCTTGTGGATTTTTTGTTGCTTTTGCAGAGGAACGACAAATATTGGTATTTTCTGTCCATATATGGAAGTTCTTTTATTTTTTTAACTTGTTTTTGTCTTTGAAGACTGCACGATAGATGCGCATTTTAGAGTAATTTGGCATTTTGATCATACAAAAATGCCAAGGATGCAAAATGAATCTTTTGTACTGTTTGTCAACATAAGCAAGAATTAGATTTTGCTGCGTGAAGACTGTTTTCACAGTGAGGCATGCCTTTCACCTTGATAACAAACTCCAGAGGTCAAAACATAGTGGTATAATATTTATCATCATTAAATTTAAATTGAGGCAATAATTATTACTCTTCCAAAGATGGTCTTCAAGATCTAATTTATGGTGAAAAGACACTAAAAATACTGTCAAAGAGTCATTGCTTGTTTAAAATTGAAAAGCAAATACAAAACACATTTAAATGTGACATGTCTATCACCTCTTAAACAAGCAATACGATGACCACCTTCTGCAAATCCATCACCATGATATAAATTGGTTCATGGAAAACAGACAACAGACGAAGCGAGAGGCAAGCCAGCTATACCACCACCCCCCAAAACTTCCAAAGTGCCAAACACAACTAACGTTGTTAAACGCTCTCACACTGATCACGTAGGAGGAAAGGACTCCTTGCCTTCACCATACCACTTGCAAAGATAGGAACAATGAAAGACTCTGAATCATTTATCTTGCAAAGATGACTTTCATCATTTTGAAGATGAAAATCATTTGGGTTCAGACCAAACTGTACACAACGGTGATCACAGGAACGCAAGCATACACAGTAAATCTTATACTTCAATTATGGTTACTAATACTTTGCAGGAATGAGAAGACTTTTGGTTAACTACTAATGCTTTAAATTCTTTGTCTTTTTCAGTTGATCAAAACAGTAGGTGGCACCTACACATAAAGGATGCAGGTCGAAGTACCTGGGGATACAGACAACACGACCGATTTTTCATTTGAAATTGCAGTTGCATAGCAACTCCCATAATTGACACTATTTACTCCATGCACCGAGACCACCATACAGCAGAAGGGAGTTAAGTCCTCACCAGTAAGTTAGACTATCAGACTGCAACTGCCTGAACCGGGCAGAACACCTTTTCCTTTCTCCAGACACGGGCCTCGCTGTCCTTATTCACTTCCTTAGCGGCCACCTCCAAAGCTCTCAAGTACCTGCCCGCACATCTAACGATCATGCAAAGATACAAAGTAGCCCAAAAAGCAAGGGTGCATTCCTACACCCCAACAGAAGCTCATGTCCCACAGTCAGCACTCAGCCTTCCAGGTGGTTTCCACCAGCCTGTTAGAGGAGAGGTGGGACTACCCACAACTGTTAGTGAAATCGCAGCAGAGGACCCACTCCTGAACAGGAACCAGACCTCATCGCTGACCTTTCACTGGAATGTATTTTAAAATAACATTTTTAAAAGAAAAAAAAGATACCTGGGAAAAACTTGAAATCCTTCTGACTTGAGTCTTTCAACTAAGTCTTTATAAACATGATCAAATTATTTCAGGAGAAAAAGCATAAATGCACTGCCTAATCACATGGAAAGTGCTTTTTAAACACTTTTCATAGCTCAAAGTCCATAAACCATTCACATTGAAATACACTTCACGGTATTCAGGTAATAGTGTTATTGCTTTAACAGATGGCAGTTCTACAACAACAAAAAAATACAATGCTTTCCTGTAGAAAACATCATTAATAGTCTCAATGATACCTGGTTTCTATAAGCTACGTGCTATACACTTGTTTTGGATCTTAAGTGGGGACATTCAATAATCAATGTCAAAGAAGAAACAGCTATACTTTAAAAAAAAAAACATATATACTTAAAAGAATATCCAGAGTGTTACAGTTCTGCTGAGAATCTGAAAATCTCAGTCTTTTTTTCTGCAGAATATAGATGTAACTACACATAACTGCTAACAGAGGAACATGAAGTTGCACCATTCACGATGTGCTGATCAGGCACATGGTCACTTTAGCTGCTGTTCACAAAGGACAGAACGTACTATGTTTACTTCTGGACTGCACCATCAATTAAGGCAGGTATTTTTAGTTTTTGCTATAGCCATTATTTTAGTTAGGTTAGAGCCAAGGCCCTACAAACTCCTTACTTTTTGGTGTCAAGTTAGGTTCTTCAGTATCTAACATGGATTTAAAATGACAATTTTTAGATCCCTAAACTTTTC